GGACAAACTTTTCATCATATCAATGAATTTCTTGAATTGATTCTCATTGTGTTGCTTTGCAAGTATTTGTGGGTATGGAGGAGGAGGCCTTGGCATTGGTGCCTTAGCCTTTGGAACTACCAGCTCCGGTATGTCAATTACGTGCTCCCTAGACGGGTTCACATCTTCTTGCGTCTCCTCAACATTTTCATCAATATCAATCCTCGCTTCTTCATTAGCTTGAACATTATTGCTTGGATCATCATCATCTTGCACCAACACATCATCCACATGTCTTCTTTGGTTTGAGGTACTAGCAACTCCACCTCTCCCACTTCTTGTTGTCACGGCCATTGCATGCCCCGTATTCCCACCTTTCGGGTTCACCACCATATCACTAGGTAGTGCCCTCTTTGGGCGAGTATTTAAAGCTTGAGAAATTTGGCCAAGTTAAACCTCCAAGTTGCGGATAAAAGTGTTGTGGGAGGCTAATTAGGCATCATAGTTGGCGTTTTTCTCCATCATTTGCTTAAACATGTTTTCAATCTGTCCCATTTCACTATTGGAAGAACTAGGACCTTGCGAAGGATATGGAGGCGGGTTGTTTGGTTGTTGAAACATCGGGGACCTCTGAAAGCCCGACCCCTGATTTCCTTGATTGCTATTGTTCCAACCCCCTTGATTATTGTTGCCTCCCCAATTACTTTGATTGTTGCCACCCCAATTACCTTGATTATTTCCTCCCCAATTGCCTTGATTACCTTGATTACCCCAATTGCTTTGATTATTGTTGTTGCCACCACTCCAATTTCCTTGGTGACCTTGATTGTTCCAATTTTCTTGGTTCCCTTGTGATCTCCATTGTTGTTGATTTGGAGCGTTGCTTCTTTGACCTTGATAATTGTTGACATATTGAACCTCTTCATCTTGCTCATCATATGAATCATCTTGATTATATCCACTATTACTTTGCTCAAATTGTTCTGGATGGTTTTGTACTTGTTGACCTCGTTGTTGTCTCTTGTTTAGCATCATGTTCACCCCTTCCATAGCATTCACCTGTTTCGGCCCTTGAACCTGTTGAAGTTGAGCCTTGGCCAATTGGTTCATGGTGGTTTTCAACTCCGCAATAGCTTTCCCATGATCATGTAGCTCCTTGTGTAGGTGAATAATATTTGGGTCACCCTGAGGAATATTGGCTCTACTTTGCCACGCCAAAGAGGTGTCCGCCATCTCATCCAAGATTTCACAAGCTTCAGAATAAGGCGTGTTCATGAATTTACCCCCAGCGAGTTGATTTACCACACACTGATTCGTTGTGTTGATCCCCCTGTAGAAGGTCTGTTAGATCATGGCCTCGGTCATATCATTGTTCGGGCATTCTTTGACCATGGTACGATATCTTTCCCAAATCTCGTGCAATGGCTCAGTGGGCTCTTGTTTGAAAGCTAGAATTTCATCCCTTAGAGTAGCCATGTGCCCCGGAGAGAATAATTTGGCAATGAACTTCTCAGCCAACTCATCCCAAGTGTGGATGGAATGATTGGGCAATCTCTATAACCAGTCCAAAGCCTTTCCCCGTAGAGAAAAGGGAAACAACCTTAACCGCAGTGCATCCTCGAAGACATTTGTTTGCTTGTTCCCCCAACAAGTATCAACGAAACCCTTGAGATGCTTGTAGGAATTCTAGTGTGGAGCTCCGGTGAAGAAACCCCGCTGCTCAAGTAGTGTAAGCATCACGTTGGTTATTTGGAAGTTTCCCGCCCTAATCCGGGGCGGGACTATTGCACTTGCATAGCCCTCGTTCGGCAACACCCGGTGTGCTACTCTTGGTGGAGGTGGGGGAGGGTTTGAGACATTATCATTAGGCGGTCGGCCTCGCCTGTTTACTTGAGGCTCGAGATGAACCTCATCCACTTTATCATCATCTACCTCCTCCCCCAATGGTAAATTTCCGAGGGGCTCGTTGTTAAGGGCCATTTTGTTCCTAAAAGCAATTCACAAACAAAATTAGTGGCTCGGAAGGAAAGAAAGACAAAACACACAAATACTTAGATATATAGCTAAATCCGTTTAACTCCCCGGCAAAGGCGCCAAAAATTGATCTCGGCCAATCCCACACCACAATTAAGTAGCGAGGCGGTCAATGCAATAATAAACCCAACAAAGGTCGGGATCGAATCCACAGGGAGTTAGAACATGGGATTAGGTTTATATCTAAGTTAATTGCAAGTTTTGGCTTCAATTGTACTTCCACAAACTTGATTGGTGTTCTACTTCTACTTTACTCTATTGTTTGCAAGTATAAAACTAAGGACAATATTTTTGGTTTTGAGTTTTTCAGATGATTAAAGGGGACTAGGGTCGTGACTTCTACCTAGGTGGTTATCTAATGGGTTGTAAACTCCAGGGCAAATTTGATTAGTTAGAATCGTGATGTAGCAATCACATTCGGGTACTCACTCTATACCCCTCGGTAGTTCGAGTGATTTTGCCCAATTAGGTTTTCTCAAAACCAATTGGGTATTTGCACAATACAAGTGATATTAGCTCAAGTCGGGTATTACTATCCCTAGGTTTAACCCTTTAATTGGGGTTATCAATTTCTTGAGTTCACCCCAATTTCTTATTAGCCAAGTTTTCCTAGACTTAGTCTCTCTTTCTTAAGTAGAGGCTAAGTCAAATAGGCATGAATCAGTGTTTGAAACCATTGATTCTAGGGTTCAATCATGAACAAGGCTAAATATCACTAACCCAATAAAAAATAAGCCCTAAATTAATCACTCATCAAATACCCACACTAGGATTGGGTCACAACCCTAGCTAAAGATTTAGCTACTCATTAAAAATAAAGAAATACAAGAAGAAATTAAGACAAAGAAAATCTAATGTTAAGAAGTAAATCTAGTATAAACTTTCTCAAAATAGCAAAGACAAAAATGACAAAAAGTTCAGGTGCACTTCTGAAAACTCCACTTAACCTAAAAATGACAAAAAGTTCTATTTATACTAAGCTAAAAATATCTGATAAAAATGCCCCTACGAAGGTTGTGCGGCCGCATTATTCTGGTGCGGTCCGCACAATGAGCTACTGCGGCCGCACAATTATCGTGCGGTCCGCATTCTTGGGAACTTGGGCTTGGACTTTGGGAGCTTCTACGGTCTGCATAAAAATGGGTGCGGCCGCACTTATGATTATGCGGCCGTACAAAATTGTTGCGGTCCGCACTACTTGCTTTTGGACTTGACACAGCTCTCTGATTCTTCAACTTTGCGAACCGCATAATAATGAATGTGGCCGCACTTGGCCTCCTATGGCCGCACAATTTTGTTGCGGTCCGCATGCCTTTAGCTGGCCCAAAGACTACTCTCTGAATCTCCCCCTTGCAGCCGCACTGCTTGCCTTTTCTGCCCTGTTTTAGTTCTTATTCACTTTTGACTCTTTTATGAGTTGATTTTAACTTCTTTGGCTCGTGTCCCAATATTCCTACAAGTAAGCACATTTTGTTAGTTTCCGGGAATGCCTTTAAGCATTTTTGAGCTAAATCACAAGTAAAAGAGAGCAAATAATCGGTCAAAATCCCCACTTATCAGGTACCCAAACTTATCATTTTGCCAATTGAACACTTACACTCGTTCAAAACTAATTTTCTAAATCCCTACGACTATTGACCGAGCTTATGTGGTATTGACATAGATGAGGTGGACAAATTATGTGTAACACACGCGTGTAAAGAGAGTGATACTAGTGATTTTGAATAAAAATGAATTAAACTAAAAAAAATAAAATTAATAAGTTAATCAAAATTACCACCCTCCCCTCCCAATTTTCTTCTCTTTCTTAGTTTCTCCCACCTTTCTTCTCGCCCCCTGTCCCTCTTTCCCCCTTCCTCTTTTTCCCTCCACACTACTGTAAACAATGGACGAACCTTCAAAATCATAAAATCAAGCAGAAATATACTATTTTTCTCTATTTCTTTAACAAAAGAATCTTTTACATTTCTTATTTCTTTTTCTGTTTAATTAAAACCCAGTTGATTAGGGTTCCGGCGAGTTTTGTTCCTCCTACGATATTGCTCCAGTGTTTTACCCGTGGTAGTAGCGTCACTGATTCCGACGACTCTTTAGGTTGACGAACGGATCTGTTTTGATTATTGTTGTTGTGTTTCGCTATTTGGAACTGGTCACGCCGGAATAATTTGTCTGGTGGCCCTTACTATTGGTATTTGTACACTTTTCGGCAAAACTCATATCCTCGGGTGAACATTCCCTTGGCTCTGTCTCGTTACTGTTATTCCATTGCACTTGTTTTGGTTAGGTTGGCTGAAAAAACTTGGTGAATCAAGGTTACAATTTGCCGCTAATGAGTCCGAATCATTAGGCATTCACTACCCCCAACGACTTCTGATTTCTGGCTTAGTGTTCTTGCATATCTGGAGTTTTGTTTTTTGTTGAAGATTTGCAGCACTTGTGTGTGCTTGCGTGCTTCGGTGTTACTGCCTCCCTTAGAAAATCTTATGTTGCTGGGTAGGATTTTGAAAGGACGATCTTTGCTGGTGGTTAGGGAATGATTCACGGTGGTCAGATTAAGAAAGAGGTTGTAATGGTGGCTATGAGGTTGTTTATTGAGGCATTTTGATTTTTCTTCAAATTTTTTTAAAAAATACTTTCTGAGAAAATAAACAATGACGTGGAATAATCGATAAAGTGTAAAATGACAGAAAATATTAGGTTTGGGTGGTCAGTCCTATTTTTCAATAGTTTATTTTCTTATGTGGCACTAGTAATGACGTGAAGTCCTACGTGTCGGAGATTATATTACACGCACTGGTAGCCTCCTGTCATAAGCGTTTATTATACACGATTTGAACGAGTGTAAGTGTTCAATTGGCAAAATAATAAGTTTGGGGACCGACATGACAAAGTGACACAAGTATAAGTATCATTTTAAATTAAACCAAATTTATCCAAATACCCCTATCTGTTTTTTTTTATTTGTTGTCCTTCAACTTGCACTATTTAGTTGATCTTTCCCAATTTAAACAAACTTACGTTTCTCTCTTCATAGAAAAAGCTCAAACCCCATACAGAATCACACAAAAATGGCATCCAACAGATCTGAATCTATCCCGGCCGATGCGGCGGATTCGAATGGAGGTCGCCGGAAAGTAGCTCTGATCACCGGCATTACTGGTCAAGACGGCTCGTACCTTACCGAATTCCTCCTTGACAAAGGCTACGAAGTCCACGGTCTAATTCGCCGATCCTCCAATTTCAACACGCAACGCGTGAATCACATCTATATCGATCCACACAACGTTCACAAGGCGCGTATGAAGCTCCACTACGCTGACGTCACCGACGCGTCATCACTCCGGCGTTGGCTCGATACGATTCTCCCCGACGAAGTCTACAACCTCGCCGCACAATCTCACGTCGCCGTCTCTTTCGAGATCCCCGATTACACCGCCGACGTCGTCGCCACCGGTGCTCTCCGTCTTCTCGAAGCTGTCCGTTCTCACATTTCCGCTACTGGTAGGTCCCACATCCGGTATTACCAAGCCGGTTCATCCGAAATGTTCGGATCTACTCCTCCGCCCCAGTCCGAAACTACGCCGTTTCATCCTAGATCGCCTTACGCTGTATCCAAGTGTGCTGCGCATTGGTACACCGTTAATTACCGTGAAGCCTATGGGATCTTTGCCTGTAATGGTATTCTTTTCAATCATGAATCCCCTAGGCGGGGCGAGAACTTCGTGACCCGGAAGATCACTCGGGCTGTTGGTCGGATCAAAATTGGGCTACAGAGCAAGCTGTTTCTGGGTAATTTGCAGGTAGAAATGGGGAAATTTTTCATTAAAATATTAACTTTTCAGCTTCTGTAATAAAAAATACTAGTACTACTTTTCAGCTCGAATACTATAAAAATAGTCAATGTAATGTCCTGCAGTTTCGGTTTCACCAGTGGGATTTGAAACTCCAGGACATTGGTTATTTTTTCAAAAATATGAATGTTACCAAGTAGCGGTTTTAACTGGAAAGCTCGAAGTTCCAAAAATTTGAAGAGGCAGTTTAATTTTGAACTTTTTGTTAATTTCAGCAATGCTTAAAATAGCAGTCCTAAAAGTGGCTATTTGTGCACTTCGCAGGCATCCAGGGACTGGGGTTTTGCCGGGGATTACGTGGAAGCAATGTGGATGATGCTGCAGCAAGAGAGGCCGGACGACTACGTGGTGGCGACGGAGGAGTCGCATACGGTGGAGGAGTTCTTGGAGGTGGCATTCGGATACGTTGGATTGAATTGGAAGGATCATGTGGTGATTGATAAGAGATACTTTAGGCCTACAGAAGTGGATAATCTAAAGGGAGATTCGAGCAAGGCGAGAAAGGTTTTGGGTTGGAAGCCCAGAGTCGGGTTCGAGCAATTAGTGAAGATGATGGTGGATGAGGATGTTGAGTTGGCCAAAAGAGAGAAAGTTCTTGTTGATGCTGGTTACATGGATGCTCAACAACAGCCTTGATTCATCACATTATTAGGTTTTCTCTATTTTCACACTTCCATTTGCAGTTTTAAGAGCGGCATCATCATGCTATTTTGTATTGTTAGTTGGTTTTTGTATGACGGTGAGTTCGGGCCAACTTACCCCTACCTCAACGGGTACCTGCTACCTCACGCAGCAAAGATATCGGAAAACTTTGTTCTAATTCCGTCCACTAAAGCTTAGGCAAATAGAAAGAAACGTCTTTTATTCTTTTGCAGAAGTACTTGCTATTGTGTATTGTTATTGTTTTTCATTAAAATACGATCATATTGTATGAGTTGTCAAAAAATTTGAGAACAAAAATTTCATCTTTTATGTAGTAATTATTTTTTTTATGTTCCTATTGAAAATTTTATTTTAGATCCCATACAAAGGGGATATTCATTTTTCTTTCTCGCATTTTTATTAGATTTCTCAACAAGAAAAGATACATTAATAAAAGAAAAAGGAAACCAACCTTTCTAAAGCAAGAAAAGATAGATGGAGTGAGAAAAATGGCCAGAAAAATAATACTAGAACAAATACTACACCTCAATCCATAGGGGCAAGGATACAATCACAAAAGAAAATAAAACAGCTAAATAATAATGCAAAAATTGAAGGGGAAGTCAGCCAGGGTCCTTTTCATTAACCTAACTGGAACAATTAGACAAGCTAAAATACAACAATCATTGATCAGCTTATGTCTATCAAAGTTAAAAATGAAACAGCGTTACAAATACCATTACAAGAAATAAACAAGGACAGAACTGGCGCCTGAAAATCTAATAATTATATCCGTTAAAGCTCGGTAGCTCTCCCAGAAGAAGGTTTCTCATTTACAAATGTTACCAAGAATCTTTCACAGCAAAGTATTAGAAGAAAGCAGTTGTTATTCCCGGGGGCGAGCAAGCCAGAGAGAGCTCAGTGCTCGAAGACGAGAGAAATAATCACTGATCGCAAGGAGAGCACGAGCTGATTGGCGAGTTGTCAATATACGATGCATTTGCTGCAATGTCTGTTGCCGAAGGTTATCAGCCTGAGGAGACATTTCATAGATTAGCCTATGCATGCAAAGAAAAGCTTCAAACATGTACAAAATGCAGGTAGACATTCCCCATATGTTCTGAAGCAAATTTATGTAAATTATCATCTATACTACAGCCACCCTTTGAGCAATGAGCGGGGAGATCAATAAACCCCCTTCTCCTCTCCTCCATTTTTGAGAAAAAGACACAAACTTAAGGCTTTAAGACGAGAGAACATTCCCCTGGATAGATCTTAAAACCTTCAATTAATAACGACTCATCACGGATCTTTGCCAGTCAGATTCGTCCAACTATTTCACACCAGGAGTATCTACAACTCCTAAAATAACAAGGAGTAAGCAACTTACAAATAAGGTCTTGGCACAAACTAGGACATAGACTTTTACTTTATTAACTTAAGGCAATAGTAAGCTGAGTAATACTGGTACAAGGAGGTGTTTATGATGAGAGACATTAGACGATTCTCAGCTGCTTGTGGCATTAATCCATTCTCTGGAAGTTGCAAACGACTAAAAAGGATCTAACAAAGGGGCTTCGAATATATTAACTTCCCCTTTCCCTTCTTTCTTTGCTTCTTTCATTTTTCTTTCAAGGAGGCAACTCGGAAAAGGCTAGGCAACAGAAAGATGCAAATGTTTGACACGTCAATGATGAATCTTAGGCTGTTAAGAAGCTCTTCACACAATCAAGCATATTATTTCAAAGGTATAGACACAGAATATGAAGGATTAAGCACCTGTCGTATGAAGCCCTCGAGAGTTCCGAGCTTCCCCATCGCCATGGCCATTTGACCCATATAATTGGCAACATTCCCCGAGGAACTTGAAGGTCCAAGGGACCCCGCCAGAGTCTCAGCCAAAGACTGCTGCAGTGCCTCCATTCCTTGGGATAAAGCATCTTCAGCCTGTTGGGATGACTGTTGCAAGTTGTTGATTGCCAATAATTGTTGTTCGGTTAAAGGCTCCAACTGGTTAATGAGGAGCTGCAACCAAATGGCAAGAAATTCAAGAACTAACAGAAAAACTAAGTCAATAATATCTTCCCGTCACCTTTACCCCTTGAAAAGAGAAAAAGAAAGGAAATGTCGACTGTGTATTAGACTGTAGGAATTTTTTCGGAACTGGACGACACGGGTTGAGGGAGAGGTTTGACTAAAGCAAGACCTTTATTTCACTAACAAGCACAGCAATGTAAACACAACAAATGGAGTTGCAAGCATGACGAAATAAGAACAGTGCATCCCAAGAAAGAATCTTCACCAAGAACTTCCAGCTAGAGAAATACGCTGAGGTCATGCAAATGGGCTGTACGCAGAGAAGTAAGCAGGTGGAGGAGGACGGTAACATGCAAAGATTTTAGATGACTAAACCTAATCATCAGAACCAAAATGGAAGAAGGTAAGGGTGGAGGGACGAGTTATAACAAAAGCGAGACTGTAGGGAGCTCAGAGATAATTGAACTGTTCATTCTCTGCACAAGAACCACCATCATAGGGAAAACAAATAGGAGGCGGAGGCGTGGAGCATACTGGAACCAGAGCAGTGCCCCCCAGAAAGAGCATCCTTACTGAGAACTTCCAGTTAGAGAAGTAAACACAGGTTCATCAACATGTCGCAACAACTTAGGTCAGAAATTTATATTTGACCTCTACAGTTCATGTTAGAATGTGTGAAATACAGAAAAAGAAACTTCTTTTACTAGAAAAACTGACTTCTATCACGCTACACGTGCTTGGATCCCTTTATGGGTTGCTGAGACATTGGGTTTAATTCTTGAAATTTAAGCCTCAAAATTTGAGAACTCTTTCCAGGCTATGAACAACTACAATCCCCATCACAAATTTTCCAAATGCATCCTGTTTAATTCAAGCACAGGCATCATTATCTCACATGTCCAACCACCATTCACAAATTTAAGAGCTTTTCTTTTTCAGTTCTTTTTTTAGCCAAAGGGAGGGGGGAAAAGCTATTCACCAAGCTGCACAATCACTTGTGGGAAGTAAAAGGCTCTCACCTTGAGGAGTTCAGACGAACGGAATCCACCAAGCCACAAGAAGCATCTCTCTGCTGGAGTTTTCCACATGCCCGACAATATGTGAAAAACGTCAGACTTTGCAGCATCCCCTTTTATCCTGAATATGTCATCATAGTGTGCCAAGATACCGTCAACAATTATGCGAAGTTCACCATCACCAGCATGCGAATTTACAGCTCCCCTTAACTCATTAATTCGTCGGTTCTGCTCTTCCAACCATCGGGCATATTCTACATCAAATGCCAAAGCTCCTAGAAGGACCGTAAGTTAGCTTTACTTACTTTCATGGAGTTCTATATTCAAACTAGTTTTTACAAAATCAAATATTCTGAATTCAAGGGAATTCCATGTTATCTAAAGGAATAAAGACGACCAAATAGCAGATGAATCACTACTCCGAAGGAGAATAATTGTTAATGACTATCTAAAAGCTGCCTTCATGGTTAATGCTCCTCCTTAATAACAGCGGGTAACCAAAGAGGCGGCAAATTGTCACGGGGTGGTGCTGCCTATGCAAGAGGCTAAGAGAGGACACATCACAGCTATGGGACCTTGTGTGCTCCTTCTCTAGCATCTCATATGTGTTCACTAGAACAGTCGAGGAAGTAATGTATAGCTGGAATGCAGCTTGAAGAACTACACTGTTGTACCTTTTTTGGATTATTTGGATCGGAAGAAATAGGAGATTATTCTATTATAGTGAGAATGATATGAAGACTACAGAGGTTCTTGTTTTGCTTATACTTCTGGTGCAAGGAGATAATTCCTTTTTGTATAGAGAAATGGACTATCTGGATGGATGAATGTTTTAAGCACACGCCCTATGTGTGCATTCGTACCACGCTATCTTGGTAAGTAATTAATGAGATGCATTTGACTTATCCAGAAAAGGAAAAGAATGCAATAACCTCCATACTCAACTTTCTTCACTACTCTAGTTAGATTCTTCTTCACTCTTCACAAGCTATAGTACTTCCATTTTCCTTTTTAATTATATAAGTATAACACGTCGGCAATGATTTCCTTGGCATGATGAAACATATGGATGAATATAGCAACATAGTCCAATAATTCCAATAAAGAAAGCCAATAATGAAATTTGAAAGTATGTAGAAGAAATAATACTTGTCTATAGATTACATTTCAAATTGAATGCCACAAAAAAATACACTAAGTACTGAAAGTAGTAGTTCCTTTTCTAAAGCTTTTATCCAAATATTTAGCCATATTGACTACAACTGGAAACCCATTTTTTGTGGGGTAAATTTTCAACTCCAGACAAATTTTGTCCTTGGTTCTGTGTAGTTAAAATAATAAGGACACTCACTTCTTCAAAATCTTCAAATACAGCATTTCACTTCAATCCCCCCACCCCCCAACCCAAAGCAAAAAGGAAAGAGAAGAAAAACCAAAAATGCTGTTTGATTACCCACTTTTAATGCTTTTACTTTTCACAGACGGAATAATACACAAGACTGAGAAATATGACATTAAGATATCAAACTGGTAGATGAAATAACCTTTTTATACAAAAAAGCTAGTACATCGGAAAAGTTAGAATAAATCAGATCAACTAGGGAATATATAATAATTTCCGTAATTGAACAAAATTCATTTAATCGTGTATTTACTTGTCTGAGACTCTGAGTAACTGAGACACTTACTATTGACTACATTAAGTTTATGTGAAACCAACTCGAAGTCAGCAATAAACTACTCAGAGGGCATTATAATCATCAGAAGGATATCCATACATCAATATGGACAAGAGGGTTAGTTCAGGTTCCACGCACCAATTCTACCACTAATCTACTTTTACTTGATTATAACAGATAGTTATACCCCTCATTAGTCAGCCATACTATATTTCTTTGTATTTTTTTAATAAACCGAGAAATCCCCGAGGGGCAGTGGTAGATAACTTTGTTTATTTTTTTGATAAACCAGTCATACTGGATTATCCAAAATAAAAATGAGAAGTGCATAACTTTTAATAAGAGAAGTCTGAATGCGGAAGATGAGCATACCATTTCCGCTCATCGACTGTGATTGATCTCCTGAACCTGAAATAAATATTCCCTTGGGGGAAAAAAAAAATATCTCAAAAGAGCTGATCATCCGAAAGGCCGCGAGCTAATAACTATGGAGGTGCTAGCTGTAAGTGTTAAAAGAGAAAAATAGACGAGGACACAAGAAATGCTGAACAAACCTGTTGTCGAGCTCGTTGAAGTTCCTGCTCTAGTTGTGTCAGCTTCATCCGGCTGCTCTCTAACTGTTGAACATATGCCTAGACCAACAAAAGCCACAAAATAAGGAATTATATTTGATACTAGATCTACTTTTGACATTACAATCCGCGTGTATGTAGTACTGACACCCATCTCACAAGCATAGATAAAGGAAAATACCTATTCTCTTAGGGGTCGTTTGATATGATGGATAAGCAAAAATAATCCTAGGATAAAAATTTAGTATTGCCTTATCCCTTGTTTGGTTGCTAATCCTAGGATAAGTTATCCCAGGATTAAAAATAGTACCAGGATAACTTATACCTGCCAGAGGGTGGAATAGTATTCCCAGGATAAAGCAGTAAAATTAACAATCCCAGGATTAATACAACATACCAAACAGTCAATAAGAAATAATACCAGTATAACTAATCCTAGTATAACTAATCCCAACATAACTAATCTCAACATAACTTGGCTCAGCATAACTTTATTACCAAAAAAAAAAATCTCAGCATAACTTGTCGTGTTAACATAGTTCAACAACGTTTTTCTAATGCTCAGAGGATCTCTAGACCAAGAAATAATGTTACTCGTCACTTAAACAATAAATCTCAAACTATAAGTTCTCAAGAAGTAGTCTACTCCAATGTTCCAAAAAAGAACTAATAGATGGGCATCTATTCATTAACACGCACTAAACTACACTAACATCCCCCTAGGTTTCCAGTCATGTTCAAGAATGGGGTCCACTAAGATCTCTTCGCTGTGAAAAACGCAATACCACATTTCGTTCAGAAACCTTCAGCATTATAATTCATTTTCATTCTTATCTCATCGATAAGAATAACTCTAAGCTCCTACATCAATACTTGAAAGAATAAAGTGTGCTATTTTTCTTTACGATTTTTCCTAAAAATGGAGCATATGCGCATCAGCCCACTTTTTTATCAAGGTAAATAAATTTATTAAAGATGGGGGAAACCCTATATACGAGCCATATACCAAAAGGTAGAGAACCTACACCAAAATTTGGTTCTTCACAAAAGAAACTCAACCTTCTATACAAATACGGACCTCATGGGTACACATAAGCTCTCTTTTGTTTTTTTGTTTTTTTGTTTTTTTTTGTTTGGTGAGAGAAAGGTACACGTAAGCCCACTTATTATCACCAATCTTCTACTGAATGCACAAATCCTTCATTTATTCAGGGTACACTAGATTCTGAGCTAATAAATTGTGGCATTGAACCTTCTTTTTCCATTTTGACTAGTATTATGACATTAAACTTTCAGATGCACCAGCTAAAACTTAAATGAGAGGACCTGCTAAGGCAGGTTTTGGACGACCACAAACCAAAAGGCCATTAATTACAATTCCAAATTTAATGTCAGGCACAACGAATACAGTATATATCAAATGAACAGAAAATAGTGCTATAGCAAGAGAACTTACCTTTTTCCTTAGACGACTTTTCCGAGCCGCTTCACGATTTTGGGCAAGTCTACGAAGTGTCTGCATAACAAGAGTTTAACATCATATAAACTTTTGTTTTTCCACTCATATTCTGTCAGTCTAAATGTAACAATAAATATAGGATACCTTCTGATCTCTTGTCCTGTCACTTCCGTCAGAAGCTACCGCACCCAGTTGTTGAGAATTTAGGAACTGCACCAGCAGTGATTGAATTTCAGTTTCATCAAGAATTTGTAGTACAGATTGTTTTACAGGATAAAATGTAGTGAAACCAAATTCAGGAAAGTCCATGGGTTAATATGTTAAGGGGACAGACATGTTTATTTTTACAATAAACTAAAAAAGAAAAAGCTGTACTTTTTTCTGCTTTTAAAGGAAAACCAAGATTGAACTTATGAAGTCAAAACCAGTCAACGAGCCTACTTGTGCTTACTGAAGTCAAGAATGGTCATAGCTCAAAACATATAATTACAAATTAGAGACTAGAGATGGATTCGAGAAGTAATTGCCTTACCCTGTTCTTATCTTCCGTATCGGCATCTGTTGATGTACTAGGACTGATATCAGCCATCGTGGACTACCGCCAACTTTTTGGATGATCAATTCAGATTGGAAAACAAATCAGATGTAGTATCTTCTGTAAAAACACCAAGGAAGAAGGAGATATCAATACATATTGATGTGCGGACGTCAAACTGTTAACTGCCAAAGATATTTGGTAACAATATTAAACCACAAAAGACTTGTCTCTGCAATAAGCAATACAGTTTGGCCTAGGTTACAAAGAGAAGGCATCTTGTTTAGCACATCTTGTTATTTAACTTTACATATGATGAACACGTGAATATCTAATCATCTCCCTCAACGTCGTAACATAATTTTCTGAAACAGAAAAGAAACTAACAAGCTGGCTAAGATGGATATTGGAAAGTCAAGGTCTATTTATGCATATAGCATTCTACAACAAGCAAATTTTGTTCACCATAAACCAATAACAAATTCAAGAAAAGATCATGTCCTAAGTATTTGTCTAGCAAGAAAATGCGCACTCCTCTCTAACACTAAGCTTCAGCCTCATGAACATTGGCCAATAGGTTCATTCATCAGATGAGCAGCCAACTGGGGATAAGTTCTTTGGCGATGGTGATCCATAAAAGTTTACTACTTTATCTATCAAGAGGCTTCTGAATGCTTTATTCTACAAAACCTCAAGTTGTTATGGTCAATACCAGAATCAGTTGTTGCTTAATACCCAACCCCTCAAATTATTGGCTGCAAAATGCAAAATCGTCTTTCATTTTGGTGGGGGGAGGGATGAATCAGGGTGGCGAGGTCAGTAGCAATGGACTTGACTTCACATGGTCCCTCCGAAAGATGCTAAAAGTTTCATGCTGAAGCAAACAAAACTAAGCTGCAGACTAAAAGACTTGTTATTCTGGCACCTTATACAACAAGATTCCATCAACTAATAAGTTACATCTGGAAGAACAAAAAAGGTTGAAAACGTCTATTTGACACCTTTTCTTTTTCAAATGCTTGATATACAGTTTACTTCTCTATTCTATATGAGTAAAGTTATTCATCTTACACCAAATTACAGCAAATAGAAAACAACGTACTGAAACCTAAGCAATACTAAAGAAGCAAATGAAAAAGTTTATATAAGAAAAACCAGCAAGTACCAGCCACATATCACTACCAACTCTCTATTGAGGAAAGAACTATCAAAAGCAAAGAATTGATGAATACACAGCCCCAGAAATAAAAAATACATCGGCATTGCTATAAAAGCCTTCCTAACAAGTAATTTGGCCTAAGCTGAAGAACATCTTCAGAGCTCATACAGCTTTTCCTCATATCAAAAGCAAAATAACAAAAATGTGAAAGAACGGCTCATCTAATTCTCTAATCTTTTTGCTTTCCTGACTGCGGTGTTCGAACCAGCTTGCACACATCTCGACTATTCCATCGAGTATCAAGAACCTCCCACCCGCACAGATACTGATAACTCTGCCAACCAAGTCTTATTCAGATGCGGAAGAACTCATCTAGTGTTCTTTTTGCCTCCGCTTGGATTTGAACCCGAGACCTCGATGATTCTCCGGAAGGGGTGGGGATTTTGTTATCAAGACACTACTAATCTAAAACTAAACTTACTAAGCTATACCATGATCAAGAATCAAGCTCACAACTCATATATAGTAAAATCCAAACAAAATCCCCTCCCCAATACACANAAACTTCCAACCCCAAACACACACACCCAACTTCAAAAAAACAGTTTGCAATATAGTAGCAAGTAACATAATAACTGAAAATTCAAGCAATACAGTAGCATGTTACATAATAACTGAAGATTAAAGCCACTTACAGTTCAAGAAACGAAAAGGGTCTATAGCAAAAGGCTCAAACTTCGCCACAAAGCCAAAGTTAGACAACAAAACTATCAAATCTTGTTCCTTTTTCTGCTATTTTTCTTGGGTTTTTTGCCTCAGCTGTTTCTGTAAATCAGTGAGATTTCTGAAGTTTACTATCAGCAAATAAAAACCAATCAACCCCAGTTGTTGGGAAGTTCCTAGATGAGAAAGAAGCAGGTGAAAATTTGAGAAAATGGGCGGTGACGTCTATACTTTGTCAGCTCTCTTTCTCTCTCTTACCAGCCAATTTTGACTTTTTGGTCACTCTCACTCTATTATTTCCTATTTTTTCTTGTGGGGTAATTTTATTTTTACTTTTATAATTATTGAAGCAACTACAGTTGGCAGAAACTCCAAAGTTGGTTCCAAATATTCGTAGAAATGCTTTTTATTTTATTATAATAATAGTGATGCTTGGATCAGTTTGTATATTTCGTTTATTTTATTGCCTATATTTTGCTATTTTATGAAAAATTATTACCCCTATAACTCTATAACAACAATAATTCAGTATAATCCTACTAGTGGGGTCTGGAAATATTAACTCTACTAAACAAAAAATTTGCTACTGAGAATAAATTCTCTTATTTATCAAAATTTTGGTCACATTTTTGTTTTAGAGGATCAATTGCACCAAAAATTAATAAAATAATATTAATTTGTGTCAAACTACAAAATGTGTTTTAAATTTTATTATTATTTTATATAGTAGGAGGATTGCGATTAGGGGATAGCAATGAGCGTAAAACTAGACAGGTTACAAAAAATTCTTACAATATAGAATATATTATTGAAAGTTTGAAATACGCTCACTTAAGCACACATCACAATACGTAATTATGGTCAATATTTTGGCTAACGAAATTCATCTCACATAAGCATAAACATCTTTGCAAAGTGTAGACTTTGTTGGCAATATTTTTTGGGACCCAAAAATATTGCAGTGTGTGATCGACAATATTTGCACGAGTTGTATCTCTTCTTTTACACCTAAAAGGCCAAGACTTTTTTGCATATAAAAGGGAAGACCATTAGTTCATTTTATACACACAAACAAGACTTGAGTTTTCATTTCTTGTTTCTTCCTTTCCTCCTTTATTAAGATTGTTTTGTATGAGAATTAGTGTTGGGAAGTACTTGTGTGAACCCTTTTTTTTGAGTGATCTTGTGAGGTTATTCTCTTAGGGTATTTGGGATTAATTAGAGTGTTTACTCTAATTTCGTACTCTCTTTTGTACTCTTATTGGTATAGTGAAATTGCTCCTCTCCGCTTGTGGACGTAGGTCACTTTGACCGAACCACGTTAAATTTGTGTCTTTTTTATATGCTTTAATTGTCGTTGTTATCAACTTTCATTGTCTTTATTATTATCATTATACCGTTGTTTGGCTAAATTCTGCACTACTCGGGTTCCCGATCCTAACACAATATTATTAGAAAATATAAAAAACTTCAAATATTTTTATTTTATTATAATATTAGATTGAAATGAAGTTAAATAAAATGGCATGATTAATAAGAAGTTATATAACCTATTTCAGCTTGTTTGGAACTATGGTATTATTATTGTAGACTGAAAGAATTTTTCATGTCAAATATTAATTTTAAAGGTGGTCAAGTTGACAGATAAAAAGTGAAAAAGTAAAATAATTTTGTCTTAAACGTGACCAAGGTGGAGTCTATATCTATGGTCAAAATTTGTCATCTAATCACACAGACAAGTGACATAAACAAATTAATCCTAACCAACATGAGTCTTGATAGGATAGATATGATCCATCACTATTAATCGTAAGGAAAAAATTATTTTAAGGAGCGCTTCTCTCTTATTAGTAAACTGGCTATTCGCGTTTTTTTAAAAAACAAATTAATCATAGAAAAAGTGAATTCTACTTTTCTTACTTGCGCTGATTGAGCAGTCTATAATACATGGAAAAAAATATTGAAAATATTCCTTTATCAAATATTTCACTTTTAACTCATCAGTATTTATAAAAAAAATAAAAAATAAAAAGAGGACAAGAATAGGAAAAAGAGCCAAAATATCAAGGAAAGGGATAATATATGTCACCCGAAATCTGACCTGTAGTGATGGCGCCTATCTCAATACTAGGCAAGCCGATAACATCAATAACCCTGATTTCCTTTAAGTTTAAAAAATATAATATTTAAATACAATACAAAATCCCACAAATACTTATACGAACACTCCCCAAAACCTGGTGTCACTGAGTACATGAACATCTAATATGATTACAAGTCTGAAAAATACAGTCTATGATAGTCTGAGACCAAATACAGTAAACAAGGAGATAGGGAAGGAGAGACAAGGTCAGCGAAACACGGCAACTACCTCAGAATCTCCGAAAAATCAACTGCGCGAAATTATCAACACCCGCTATATTTGGGAGCATCTGGATCTGCACATGAAGTGCGGGATGTAGTATGCGTACAACCAACTCCGCAAGTAACAATAATAAATAAAAAAGTGAAGATAGTGACGAGCCACACAATTATAGTTCGCTTTCAGTAATTCCAGCAAAAGAATAGACATGCTTTCAAATACAGCAGTTTAAGTCAAATCAATTTTATGCAGTTCATGTAATTCGGATATAAAATCTTTCAGAGAATTTCACAAACAATGACAGATAGCAACTAAGTGCAACAACAAATGAAAAGCAAGTACAGCCTCTCAGGCAACAATCACTCAACTCGTTACAACAGCTCAACCACTCGGCTCCCAGCCCTCAGCACTCACACTCAATGGGTACTCGTGCTCACTAGGGGTGTACAAACTCCGCAGGGGCTCCTACAGCTCAAGCGCTATAATCTTCACGGACAACTCACGTGTTGCACGAATAACTCACGTTCCATAATATAAATATCTGGATCTGCACAGACAATTCACGTGCTATAATATAATATAAGGATCCGCATGGACAACTCACGTGCTATAATATAATATCTCACAATCAGGCCCTCGGCCTCACTCAGTCATAAATCTCTCCAGTCTCTCGGGCTCTCAACAATCGTGAAATCAGCCCAAAGAACAATGATATGATGCATCAATAATAGAGACTGAGATAAAATAATCAAGTAAACTTTGACTAAGTACAAAACAATAATTAAGCAGATAGTTCAACATGTACACGGCATCTGTGTGTCCCAACAGTACCAACATATAGCCGAAACATGGTTTCTAACATGATTTACAGTCAAATTTCTTCAACACATAGAGAGCACATAGCTAACAACAAGTTATTCAACTCTACAGTCTCACGGGACGGATCAAGTCACAATCCCCTCGGTGCACGCCCACACGCCTGTCACCTAGCATGTGTATCACCTCCAAAGTAATCACATGATACAAATTTCCGGGGTTTCATACCCTCAGGACCAGATTTAAAACTGCTACTTACCTCAGAGCATGAAATTCTTTACTCTGTTATGCCTTTGCCTCGTAAATCGGCCTCTGAATGCCTCGAATCTAGTCACAAATATTTCGTTCCAGTCAATAAAATTTATTGGAATTAATTCCATATGAAAATATAATTTTTCATAAAAATTTGAATTTTATCTCAAAAATCACGTCTCAGAACCCAACAAAAGTTACAAAATATAAACGCCCATCTAACTACGAGTCCAACCATACAAATTTCACCAAATTCCGACATCAACTCGACCATTAAATCTTCAATTAAAGTCATTGAAGATTTTAATCATTTTCAACCCAATCTTTACCCATTAGAGCTTAACAATCTTTCCATAAACCTTATTGATATGTATAAATAATACTATTACACCCAAGAATCATGCTCTTAATCACCCATCTTTACCCAAACTCGAAATTGAAGACTAGGGGTTAAAACCTTACCCCTTGGGTGAAGATCTTGTGATATTTCCTTATTGGATTTAAAAGCTTGAACAAGATCTTGATGAACAAAGCACTTGAGCTTCTTCTTCTCTCTAGAGCACTCTCCCTCTAAAAATGTCAGTTTTTTGCTCCAAAATGAGTCCCAAAGCCTATTTATCAAAATTGGCTCGGGTTATGAAAATAGAAAAATTAACCCTCCGAAAGCAGGTATGCGGTCACATAACGAACCGCAGAATGGGTATGCGGGTCGCAAAATACACCGTAAAATCGATGCCCAGAAATGGGCTTCACTGGACAGGTCTGGGACCATTTTGCGGTCGCATAACTACTTTTGTGATCGCATAATGGTTCTGCGATCGCAGAATTGGTCGCATAATCATATTTTTCAGATTTTGGTAATTTGATCATAACTTCTTGTAGGAATGTCCAAATGACGAACGGTTTGAAACGTTAGAAACTAGACTCGAAGATCTTTCATTTGACAGGTAATACACCATACACCATATAACACTTCATATCCTGAGAGTTATACTCATTTTAAGTTAGGTATTGTGCGAACTCACTTAAACTTTAGTCTATTATGAAATTTTCAACTTCTACATTCGATGCCGAAACCTATCGAATCAAATCTGATTGACCTCAAATTTTGCACACAAGTCAAAAATAACATAACAGACCTATTCAAATTTCCGAAATCGGATTCCGACCTCGATATCAAAAAGTCATCCCATCGGTCAAACTTTCCAAAAATTCAACTTTCGCCATTTTAAGCTAATTCTACTACGGACCTCCAAATAATTTTTCGGACACGCTCCTAAGTCCAAAATAACCATACTGAACTATTGGAATCACCATAATTTAATTTCGAGATCGTTTACACATAAGTGAATATCCGATCAACTTTTCCAACTTAAGTTTTCAATTATGAGACTAAGCGTCTCATTTCACTCCGAAATTCTTTCGGACCCGAACCAACTAACCTGATAAGTTATAAATCAACTGTAATGTATAAATTAAGCAGTAAATGGGGAAACGGGGTTGTGATACTCAAAACAACCGGTCGGGTCGTTACATTCTCCCCAACTTAAACATACGTTCGTCCTCGAACGTGCCAAGAGTTGTTCTTAACCTTCAAATCTCTATTCCACCTTATCACGCACATACCCGGGGGTGATCTCACGTCACACTATTCTATATAGTCATGACCACATAACCTAACTAAAAATCATTAATTTAGCTTTAGCCCAAAAACCTTGGAGCCAAGTTTCTAACATCCAGAATTTTTTTCAAGACCTGAATCTCATATCTACACACTGTATAAGCCTGAACAAGTTATATCCAGCCATAACCATAATCCCAGATATAA